ATATTGTAAGACAAGGCAGTACTAGAACATGTTAAAAAATAATTAAAGTTCTTTTGCTGCCCAGATGAAAACCCAAAGCTTATCACTCTACTTACTTAAGCTTTTATTGCTCAGTCTTCAAATGCGGGATCTTACTATCTCCCTTAGTGATTCATCTACCAGAAAGCTCCTCCACCCTAGTCTTTGACCTTACTTTACCCTCTTTCACAACTTCTCCTTGGCCCACGACCTCACCTTATCCCCCTTCACATCTCCAGCCAGCCTCCACCCTGGCCCTCGACTTGACTTTACCCTCTAGGAAGTCTCAATGAGAATGAAGATCATTAAGTAGCATTTGAGGTTTAAAGGGACTTTATTTTAGCCAATCATCACCGGTAAATATAGCCATGTTCGCCTTAAATTTTATGATGTATGTACCCTATCCTAACTATAATAGGTTGATTTTATGAATAATAAATGTCATAATCTCAGCTGAAGGTCAATACGACCCCAAACTGTTCTTAGAAAAAAAGATGATTATAACCTCTCAGCCCAGTTCATGTGCTGATGTCATCCCGCTGTTTGCTCCTAATGTATAAAATAAACTTCTGCTGAGACCAGAGCAGGAAGACGTGCACCCAACTGCCACTCCCGTGACTCCCTTGCACCTGTGTTAGAATACAGTGTTCATCCCCACTTTCTCCCAAACCCCATGGAAGTGGCGGTAAAGGAGTAAAGACCGCTGTTCACAAGGAGAAAGAGGCTGGGAGAGGACCCCGTGCCCAGGAGACGTGCTGCGCCAGGGCGGCCGGGAGGGAGGTGCGCTGGGCTGGGCTGGGCTGGGCTGGGCTGGGCTGGGCAGCAGGGTGTGGGCAGGCTGAGCCCGCGGCCCTGGAGGAAGGCACCAGGCGGTGGGAGACAGGGCTGTGCCCCGGGGCCTCGAGGGGCACCCGCTGCCGCCCTGCCCAGACCAGAGGCCTCACGGGGCGGAAGGCCTCGGGGAGGGCGAGTCCAGAGTCCCCACGCTGGGTGGTGGCCACGAGCCTCCTGCCCACTTACCAAACACACGCGCTGGCTCAACTTGCAGGCAAAAAGACTTAGGGGGTTTTAGATTTAATTATTTTATTCATCTGGTATTTAGTGTAAAAGTCAGGTAAGGAACATACATTATTCTTTTCTCCCACAGGGCGAGCCAAGCCTTGGCTAAGAACTTGGAATTTATTCCCGAAAGACTGAAATTGATGTCTTTATAGGAAATCCCCACATGTATTTGGATCTATTTCTGACGCCCTGCCCGGCCCCATCACTGACTGCCATTCTTGTACAATTAGTTTAGCTTTTTGTAAAGATGTATTTCTTTATGCATACAAGACTGGGGTACAGACTAGAGGTGCGGGGTGAGAGAGTTCACCACAGACAGAGCGGGGAGCAGACCAGGCAGATGGACGGAAACCCACTGCTGAGGGAGCGGCGGGGTGAGGGGAGCGGTCTGCTGCGCCCCGGGGTCCCTCCCCGGCCGGGATCGGCTGCAGGGGCTGCGGACGGCTTCACAGTGCTGCGCTCTGACCTGCTGCGCCACCAGGGAGGCCCAACGCCTTGACTTCTTTAGCCAAAAATTCAGGATAAAATCTGTCAGGATTCAAAACGCAAGTAAAGTGAGGTGTGTTTAATAAGAAAGAAATGTTTTGGGAATAAATAGTTTGAAGGTCTTGAAAAGAGAGATTAGTAAGAAGGTAAAAGAGTGCTGAAGGTCCGAGAAAGGTCAAAATATTATGCGCTAGAGAGACTTGCTAAGCTTAATCCCAGCATTTCTGTAACAGCAAACTTCAGTGTCCTTCCCTACAGTGAGAGCTCAATATCCTTAAACTCAGCTCTGACCAGGCACCACACGAAGCCCTTTTAGCACATTCGGACATGTGCGTCTTGTTCACTTGCTCATAATTGGCGCCTCCTTAGTAGTGAAAGCGGCTGTCCTTTCCACCTCACTCGACACCCACCCCCTCTGCCCCTGAACCCCACTAAACCCTCGAACTGCTCGGGGACCTCAGCCCCGGGAGGCGTCTGATTCAGGCCTGCCCAGGCTGAGTCTACTCACTTTTCCTCTTCTCTGTAAACCCTCCGGCCCTCCCAAGGTACAAACTCCAGGGTGCACACAGGAGACAGGGAACCCCCCACCAGACTCCGTCTTCCCCACCTCGATGCCTGCACCGTCCGGTCCCGCTCACCTCCCTCTGGGCCGAGGGACGCGTGGGGCAGCCGACTTGGGAACGGACCTCACCACAGGCCGAATGCGCTCCCAGGCGCTCAGCCCAGGCGGACGGGCCCCTGTCTGGTCGTCCTCACCACGCCAATGGCTGTGAACCCCAGGATTCGGCCACGGGCACCACCTACCCCGGCTGAAACAGGCCGCCACTCCTGAGAGGTACCGCTGCCACCCGTGGGACCCCAAATCACGCTTCACCGGGACCCGGTGACAGTTCTGCCTTCCCGGCCTGCTCCCTGTTTCTCTTCTCCACCACACGGTCACGGGAACGACCAGCTACGCCTGCTGGTGCCGCAGCACCGCTGTGCAACGCCACACAGACCTCTCGCGTGCCGGGCACTGCGCCAGCCCAGAATCGGGCACCGGGCTCGCTCACCCAGCGACCCCCGGCCCTGCCGACGCCCCACACCTCCGGCTCCCAGCTCACACCCTCCCCTGACATGGATTCTCCCGCTGGCAGGGCCAGTCGTCGGGATGTTTCCTTTTC